TTTTGCAATCACTGAGTGCTGCCATTCAAGTTGTCATGAAGGAAGCGGTGTGCAGCGGAGATTGTGCTGGTAGGGGCAGAGGCTCAGGATCCAGACAATGGTGCACTAATTTCAGTGAAGTTGGTGGACTTCGGGGGCTACTAGTCGACGAATTGTCCTAGAGCGGTGCTTCGTCTAGGTGTGACCCGAGAGCGGGTGGACGAAGGTCGATTGCTAAAGGAGCGAACACAATCGAAAGTGGAAGAGGCCCTGCGATGCGTTGGCAAAGGCCACACATGGGGGGATCACAATCCAAGTTCATCATACAAGGATCAGAATGCAATAGAGATGTCATCAGAAGACGACATGGTGCAGCGGATCATGGTGGAACAATTCGTGGCAATGCGATACACACGAATCTAGTCCCACGAGGGACTAGATCATACGGATGTATGATCGGGAGCTACTGGGAGCTCCACTTCAGTGAACAACACGACGACAAGAAAGACTATGGATTTAAGGAGTGAATGCTCTAGTATTGTAGAGGTGGATCTTTTGTGCGTGCATCGAATTTTGCATCGGATAAAAGTCTTAGTCATCAGCATATGGGGGCTATGTACCACCGAAGGAGTATACTGACTGCAAGTACCAGTGAGTCCCATGGGAGGGACTTGATCATGTAGAAGTATGATCAAAGCGGCTAGAGAGTTGGACTGCTCCAGAGCTCATATTCGCTTAAGGAAGCTCGACAAGTCAAAAGACAAGACCGAGGAAGCGAACGTTGCTACCAAGGAAGCTAAGGAGAACAGAATCGGTGCAAACCCTACAATATGATGCTAGAGGCCATGCATGAGAGTTGCAGTCTGTCTTTCCATTGACCAAGGGAAACTGCTTGGAAAACACAGAGGTATTGAAGCAGGGGGGCGAAAGGAGCGAGGAAGCGATGACGAGTTTAGAAGGACTTAGCTACCTAAAACCAAGCATCGGTTAGAATGGAGGTGAACTCGGAGGAGTGCCACAGTGCCATAGAGGCAAATCTATTGATCGCGAAGAAAATGATGCAAATGCGAGGCGATGGGTAGTAGGGCAATGGGCATGGTAGCGCCATGATACCGCAGAGGTGAGACTTCCATGAAGTCATCGATCCCTTGCTCTCATGGAGGGAGAGCGCTTGGTCGTAAAAGGGGCCGAGGATGTGGAGAATGCGGAGGCAAACTCTAAGTACCGAAACAAGGCCGAAGGGTAGAGGCCAGGGAACTTCGTAAGACCTGTGTCAACGAGCTTCTTATCAGGATAGCCAAAAGTTGAGGACTTCGGGTTGTTGCAAAAGTGCACGACTAAGGAACGAAGCAGGCAGTACGCGGTGCTATACCTTTGCTACTCAGTGGAGTAGGTGGCAGAGATGATGGAGAAGACGGTACAATCCCAGAGGCGACCAAAACTATTAAAGACTTACTCCAAGTTGGGGTGAAAACTTCCTGCATTCCAGAAGTTCGATGGCATTGAAAGGTGAATTATAGTAGCTAACTCAACGCAAGAAGTACAAACATTTCGAGTGCTTCAGAAGTGTGAGCAAAGAGCAAGCGAAGGCCAGTAACCAGCTCAATGTATGGAGTACAACTCTCGAGGAGGTGAGCGAAGTCAAGTAACATTTGCCTTCTTAACTCTTAAGAGAATGAGCGAAACTAAGTACCTCAATTCTTTTATATATATAGCAGAGGAGCTCTACACACGTTTAAAAACCCTTCGAAGAAACCAAATGAAAGACAATAGTTGTCAAATCCTCACCAATGGTGATCGGTGCTACTAAGAGTAGATTATCCGCTTCATTTCCCAACAGAATGCTAATCGAAAGCAGAAGTGATGCGAATTTACTTGGAAGTGACAACTAAATGAAAGAAGAATCGATGGACAAATTTTGTGGAGGAAGAACCCAAAAACTTCAAAAGTTTACGAGGCGATACTCGTTAAAGCTCCAACAAGCATCCACCCAATTCAAGTGGCATGAGGCATTTGAGAGACTAGCGCATACTGAGGATGATCTTTTCTTTCATCTGAAGGATCCGTAGGAACCAACAGTGATCAACACAACTTAGCCAACCTCACACTAAAGTCAGAGTCATTGGCGAGTTGAAGCAGCATGGCAGATTAAAAGTTCGACTACTCAACAACAGCAGCGGAGAGTAGCTGGGAGCTAACAGACGCATTGCAACTGGAGCAAAAGATTAAAGACTCAACAAAGGCTAGGAGTTGTAGTGTCAGCAAGGGCTTCGACGAGAATGTCGAAGGAATAAGTGGGGGAGAATGTCACGGACAAAATTGTAAACGAGGTGTTCGATGTAATGCTTATGTATGTCCGTGCCTTTCGGTTTTGTTTATGCTTTTCACAGCTTATAAAGGGCTGACAGTAGGCTTAGCAGCCCCATTTTCTTTGGTTTTGGTGGCCATCCTAGGCTTGCAAACAAAGGTTATGTCATGTGGGCACTTGTAGGGATTTCGATCTGTAGTAGAGCATTTTGGACCCTTTGTTGTGCGACCGTTCAGAACTTGTAAAGTTTGTTTGTAATTTGCATTGGCTATGAAGTGTTTACTGAAATGATTGCTTGTAGATCCCGAGTGAAACATTTTCTTTAATCCGTTTTCTCTTTTGTAGGTCCTAAGGGACCATAGGAGGTTTCGGGGAGGCTGACCGTTGTGGATGGACACGCAAGGGTACCGCACGACTTAGGCAAAACTAGCTAAGTGCGTGACTGCACGACAGTTGTCATGCGACCGCCACTGCGTTGTCGCATGACAGCATTTAGAAAAGAACGGGCTTGCTAGGATTTTGAGATCGAAAGAGGCCGATTCGGGTCCATTAAAAAAAATAAGAAGGGTTCGGTCGTGATCATTTAAAAAAAAAAAATCCAGACCCAACATCTTTAAAAAAGAGAGAAAACTGGATTGAATTGCCTGAAATGGGGCAGCCACATCTTGGGTTATGCTTGGAGAGGTAAATACTGGCTGGTATGAACTGAACTGGGTGTAATGAATTCTATGAGTCTACGAACAATAGATGAGTGCTATTAAATTGCTGATGTGTGGAATAAGTAAATAGTCAAACTAGGATAAGATACTTGTGAAACCGAATATTGTATGAAATTTTGGGACATATCATTAATAAAACAATTTGTGAAAACTGGTTCTTATGAAGCAAATTTAGCTTGGCAAAATTATGAAAAATTATGAACTTTTCAATGGCATTGAAAGTAATACTAATATGTAATTTGATGGGCATGGATTTATGGATTTTTAACTAGTTGGGTTAAGACTTGATTGTTCTTGCTATTGGCACTGCTAACAGTCTAAGCTGCATTTTAACTTTTGTGCTGTCATAAGATTGTGAAGTAAATATTCAAAATATTAGTTCTCTACTGATCGACTACAGAATTGTTTTTATGAGGTCTCTACTGTACATCTGCACAAGAGTTTTTTATATCTTTAAATAATTTATTAAATTAGACAACTAATGGTAACTATGAATTTAGTGGCTTATAGAAAATCAGTGTTGAACCTGCATTATGTTCTCAGTTTTTCTATTACTTCCAAATTAATATGAAATTTTATTCTTAACAACTATTTGTCAGGCAAAGGTTAATGGTCGGGAAGGACGTGTAATGATTTTCAATTTGGTGGAGACAGCTCAAGAGTTTTTATCTGAAATTGCCTCATTCAATGAATCACATGAATCTGTAAGTTAGTTTCAATGACAAAATGTTGTCTTAATCTCAGAAAAATTGTCCCTTCTCTATATACACAATTTGCATGGGTGTCTACTGGTGGAGACTTGATCGGACATTTAGTTTCCATAGAGACATCTGTTCTTGTGGTGGTTGAGTTCTTTTACATCACTCTTTGAATTATAACTGCCGTCAAGTTGAAAGCCTAATGCTTAACAAATTAGTTCATAGTATTTGTACTTTTATACCTTTGCATGTAGATATCGAGAAGTTTCATTTGCTGTTCTAGTGACTGTAAGTTCAAAAAATTGAATGCATTGCCTATAAATCTAATATATGGACAAAATAACCAGGGATCTATATTGGGTCAAAGGTTCTAACGACTAGAAACTCACAACTAAGTTGCTATGTGATCCCCAACAATGTATTGCTTTCTACGGGTTGTTGTACCGCTTGAGTTAGTATGGTATGGGCAATACGTATCGGTCCGACGAGTGATCGGGATACGGATCACCCGGTACTAAGCCGTTTCTATTGGGGGGCTATATCGGGCGATACACCCCTTCGTACCTAATGGTATGTCTGAAACTAGACTATTACTGATTTGTATCGATCGGTAACATTCATATTTCAATTGATTTTGATGGACGGCCCTGATTAACCAGATTCCAATGGTCAATTTGATCGTTAGCATGCCTTGGTTGATATGCTGGTATAGAGCGGTACATGCCATACTGTCGGTCGGCATGGTCAGTTGGCAGGCGAAGTTAAACCTTGCTATGAGTAATGTGTAACAGTAATCAAATAACATTGCTTGATTTCTACTATATAGTTTGTAGCTTATACAATTGATTTTTTTTTACTTTTTTAGTAAATTGAATGCCGTGCCTATAAATTTAATATGTTGACAAAACAATCATGGATTTTTATTGGGTCAAAGGTTATAATGATAAGAAACTCACAACTAAGTTCTTTGTGATCACCCACATTTATTGCTATTCACATGCAGTGTGTAAATGTACTTAAAATACCATTATTTAGCTTTTTGTGTTTTTAATATTTTATATTATTTATGTTACTAGAATAATCGTTTTAGCTATTAAACATGCCCTTATACAAATATGAAGTGGTTAATATAGCGACAATTTTAATGATAATTTAAAAAGCATAAGGCCATTTCAGTTTGTGAATGATTTTATTAATGGCATATCTTTCTTTTCATGCAAATTTATGCTGATGTTGCTATGGTTCAAATTACAATTATGATAAGGCCTCATATCTGTTATGCATAGCATTTTTGTCCCTGCTTGGAAATATTTATTTGGGTATTATTTTATCCTTTGTCTACAAGCTGTTGAACTGCATCTGTTTCTTGGCCATACTGAACATGGCATCCTGATTTTTTAACATAAATGATCTGTGGCACTAATATCAAATTTTGAGAGGCACTTTGCTTATGAGCAAGAATAATTCTATGACTATGATTTTGCACTAGTTTAAGATTGTAATAAATTGAGGTTTTTAATCTTCCAAGTCTGAAGCAAGGATTGCTGTGCTGGTCCGCACAGTGTGGCTCAATATTTAGCCTATGTTTTTAGGCACATGAAGGGTACAAGAACGTGTAGACCATTTGGTATGGTATCATGCTTTATTGAGAATGTATAAATATTCCCCATGTCATGATTTATTAATCTTTAGACAGAAATATGATTTCTATTAATGTCAAAGTAGCATTATTCTTGGATCTCTTGGTGTGATCCATTGTAAGTTGTGACCTTTTGTTTAGGGATAAGCTTTGTTGAGAATGTATAAATATTCCCCATGTCATGATTTATTAATCTTTAGACAGAAATATGATTTCTATTTATGTCAAAGTAGCATTATTCTTGGATCTCTTGGTGTGATCCATTGTAAGTTGTGACCTTTTGTTTAGGGATAAGCATGTTTGTCCAATCATGAAATTCTCTGCATGTAAAATTGAAGTGGCCAGGTTGGACACACTATCCTAGCAAACAAAATGTAAATATGATTTTCATGCTGTTGTTTGTTAAGTGTGGATTTTGATTCTGTTGTCTAGCTAACTTCAAGTTCTTTTATTGCAGGTTCCTTGTATTGGTTCTAGTCGAAATGACCACTCTCTTCAAGAGGAACCAGCATCCCAGATTGATATGTGCCGTTATTCTGATGGGCCTTCTGTTTGCAGTTCAATCGATCTATATGGTGACTTGTGTGGTGATGATGCACCATTGGGTGGTCATGTCACGAAAGCTACAAATAACAGCTCTAGCAAAGTCATTGTTACACAAGCTGGATCAATGGACATGGACAAAAATAAAAACATCCTTTTGGAATCTCATGCCTTAAAGAACGTTGAGAATGCCACCACAGATGATGGTTTGTTAAGAAATAGGAAATCTGAAGTGTTGAACATGATAAAACATGGGGTTGAACCACTGGCAGTTGCAAAATTAAATGTTCTTGTGGAAGAAACTGAAAATGACGCGACAAGTTCATCTTTCAAGGCTTCCTTGAAACCATTAGAAGATGTTCTGGAGAGTTCTGATGCCACACTGCATGAGGTAAAAAAATAGAAATTCAAATCCTCATATTTGTTAAATGTCCACATTGGGTGGATAAATTAAAGTGTTTTCAGAGATTGGGTTGCACATGGACTAGGGACCACTGATATAGGTCATCTTGATGTCATAGCTTATTGCTCATAAGCAGTCCTTTATACTCAGTGCTACACACTTGCGTTAACATACTTATCAACTCAGGATCAGTGGATGTTTGTATCTAGCTGATTTATAATGCAAATGTCCTGACTTGAGCGGCAAAGAAGTAATTATAACATACTTGCATAAACATTGAGCTTGCAATATGCTGGCTTGACATCTTGGATCGTGTATGTTTCTAGCAAAAAAATGTCAGCTTAGTTGGTAACTTTTTGGCTTTTGCAATATGCTTCATTTTGAGGTTTTTTAATCTTTTCAGTGACATTTGATTTGCTTTAATTAAATTCACAATTATCATGGTTATCTTCATGGTTTGACTTTGATGTTTTGGGCAGTAGATCCATGTTGGTCTCTGGCCATGCTAGAATGTGCCAACGTACCATGTAAGCAGCAGAACATTTTTTAAAGATTCAAGATATACACGGTGTTGGGCGGCATGAACACGGTCTATGCTGCTAATCTGATAGGCCATCGGACCAATGTGTACTGCCTAGTACATACTGGTCTGAGTGAAATGTAGAACCACTTGTCTTACAGTTCATACTGTTCTAGCATTTTGATATCAGGGTGGTGGTACAAATCCAAGTTAAAGGTAGAACCATACGTCTTTGGCATTTTGATATCGAGGTAACAACGAGGTTCAAAATCTTGATATTGGAACAATACCGGCCACTTGCTGGACTGGTATGATTCAGTTATGTATTGCATGTTGGCATATGGTACATTGGTGTGATCCGGTTGTTATGGACCGGGAGATGGCGGGGGTGGAGAGAGAGGGGGGATGTTCTCTGCAGTATTTATGCAATGAATAGCAGCGAACACAGTGTTTGCAGTGTAAACGGTAATATGCTGCACTTTTGTGGTAAGCATTATTGATTGAAACAGGAATATCTTGAGATGATTGGTTGGTCCCTTTTCTGCAGTAGTAGAATGGCAATTCGACATGTTTAACTAGGTTATTTTGTAGAAATGTTCTGGAAGTCGATTGACATGGTTGTAACAATTTGGTCCGGCCTGGTACTTAAAAAATCACACAGTGAATTTTATATGAATAGAAATTGCTTCAGATCATCTTTTGTCATTCCTGGTGGACCAGTATAACGTTAGAGTATATGCCAGTCTGGTTAAGCACTGGTAATGGACCATATGACTACCACTCAGTATACCATTTTTATACTCCTTTTTTACTAGTATGATATAGGCGTGACAACCACTTGATTATCTTTGATTGAAATCAATATCAGATCATCCTTGGTTTTTGTTTCATATAACCATAATTTCTAATTATCCTGGCAGGGCATCAACCTTTTAGAGCATGGATGTAAGAATGATGTGTCTGATTCAGAATGTGATTATTTGACTTCGTCTAGCTATGTTTCAGTTACACATGATGATGAATCTCGACGCAAGGAAAAAGATCTTCTTTTGGTACTTCCTTACCCTTAATGTTGGTTTATATCATATAGAGAACTTTAGATTTAACTTCTTTACTCATCACATCAGGTACACTTGCTTCGCCTTGCTTGCTCTTCCAAAGGATCTTTAGCTAATGCTTTACCGGAGATATCGTTGGAGCTGCAGAATATAGGGGTATATGTTTCTCACCCATCCTTCTCTTTTTCCCCTCTCCTCCCCTTTATCCTATATTGTTTTTTATTTGAAGGTTCATTTTTTATTGGTGCCAAACAGGTGCTTTCTGAATGGGCCAACGATTTAATTGCTGCACCCCTGTCAGTTTTTACTGAAGCATTTGATCATGCCTTTGAACAGCATATGGTTGGTTTGTCTTTGAGTGATATCATTACAGATTTATAGATTCAAAAGTCTAGTGGTGATAGTTTTCTCGTGGTTGATCTGTTTTAGGCATCCTCAAAATTCTCCGAATTCTGGAGAACAGACAATGGTTCTTCATCTAAACCAAATTCTCGTTATTTGAGTGACTTCCAAGAGGTCCATTCACTTGGTAAGATAACCATTTCTTCGTATGCTCCATCATACTGTTGAATTGGTTTCATCTTTTCTCCATGTTAGTTGTAAGTTTAAGTTGCAAATAGTATTAATGTATATTATGACCACTAAATAAATGAAAGGATTATGTACCTCATTCGACACATTTTAACACATGAAATATTGGTATGGAAACCTCATTCGACACATTTTAACACCTTAAACAATCTGGAACAATGGTGTTGTACCCACATCCATTTTTGGTTGAGGGTTCAAAACCTCATTTGACACTGTGGTGGTGGACCAGATCACCACAAGGTCCGATACTCTCTTTCGCACTTACCCTTTGTAAATGAAAAAAAATAAAATTCTAAAAACTAAAAATAAAAGATTATAAAGTAAATGTCACAAATATCTAAAATTAAAATTAAAACAAAAATTGAAACTCTTAAAATAGTAAACAATTTAGGTCACTAAGAGTTGCACAAAGCTTTTTTCCTTGCCTGGAACCTTGGATCCTTAAATCTCAAGCAAGCAGACTCGCTGTGCCAACAAAGCTTGCCTTAAAAATTGTAAAACTTGAACCAATAAGATTACTTGTGAAATTAAGGGGAAAACAACAAAAGATCAGAAAAGTAAAGGATGAAATTTAACGAATAAAGATAAGATATAAAGAAAAAATATATAACATAATTAAATTAGACTATAAGAAAAATAAATTGGCTATCACATTGAATGATGGAAGAAGAAATTATGATTTTAAAATTATGATGAAAAAATTAATATGCAATGGTCTATCTGGTGAGGCTTGATCCTTGGTTAAAAGTTTCTGCATGTTAAACACTACTAGTGAACACATTCTTTTGGTTTTATAGTATTTTTTTTGAATTAATGAGACATTTTGTTCTATTAGAAAAAAGTAAACTAATGGGACTCATCTAGTTATTGTGCTATTTAAATTTTGAGGACTCTTAGAGATGTTGCGCTCATTGTCTAAGCACTTTTTCATTCTCCTCTTTCGATTCTTTCCCATCTTTTGATCAGCTTTAGAAAATGAATATTGCATCATTTGTGTCAATGGCAACAAATGGTAAATATGATTTGTAGCACTAAATAGCACAAATAACATCAATGTCGTCTCAGTTTTTTGTAATAATTAGGTTTCCTTTTGTTATTTTTGTTTTCGGTTTCTTGGTTTACTTCTCCTTCCCCCTGCTTCCTCTTTTCTGAGTCTGTAAAATAGCTTTGAATCAGCCAAAATGAGGAAAGTTGATTCTGGTACTGGTAGGTCTTATCATACTGGAATTGATTGATAACCAGTGAGCATAGTTTAGGCATCTTTAGGCTTATTTGCTCCTAGGTGCTACAGACTTGTTTATTTGCAGCATGGAGCTCTCATAAAGCCCCTTGCCTGTGACTTGTTGGTGGTGCACAACCAGACTAAAGATTTACATGCAGAAAGACTGACACTTGCAATTGCAGGATGGGAAGGAAACTAGATAATTGCACAATTTCTCATAAATTCTGATTGGTCCTTTAGATATGCTGTTTGATGAAGTGGAAGCCTTTTACTGGGCATGCTCAGATACAGAACTTAGTTTGTTTTCTAATTTTTGTATCTTTGGCTGATATTTAATATGGTAAATTTAAATTTTTTTAATCAGCTTTTAAACATTATATCCTTTTAATCCTTGTTTTGACAGGTCATGGAGGTTTTGGCCATGTTGCATTGTGCAAAAATAAACTAGATGGTCGCCAATATGCACTAAAAAAGATTCGCCTTAAAGATAAAAATCTTCATGTCAATGAAAAGATTGTGAGGTACTGTTGCTATTTGCTTTGGCATTTTGTTGAGTTGATCTTCCTCTTATGTTTTTCTTTCCTCTGGGAACAAGGTTGAGACTTGAGCTTTTCTTTGGCTCTTATATCAGCCTTTGTTGGATTTAGGTTTAGAAAATATAAATTGGCTTGCTTTATGTAATTTATGAATGACAAATGTAAATTGGGTTTAGGTTATAGCATATTTGAACTACTTGTTTTTTCTCTGAAGTGTTGAGCAAAGTGTTAGTGCTCGAGATGGACACACTCTAGATGTTATAAGCATTTTGAAGCATGGTATGCAATTTCAAATGGTACCGCCCAATATGGGCGGTATGTACCTGTCTGACGGTATATCGGTACGCGGACCGCTAACGTGCTATAGTGCTACAGTACTATAGTAGAGAGAAAGAAATATTTTAAATTAGGTGTACCGTTCGGTACGTCCTGATGTACTGCTCGGTACGTCCTAGTGTATCGCTCGATACACGGTACCATACCGTATCGAGCCAACCTCGAAACACCGGTACGGTACGGTTCTGCATACCTTGTTTTGAAGTGTCTATGTGATGGAGAACTATTGAGCTTTACAAGGATTTTCAGAAAAGTTTATTCTAGGCAAAGATATCAACAAAAAATCATCAATTAGTTGGCCTAGAAATTCCAAGAGTTGTGTTAAAAATTGAAAAGCCTTTTGGTCTTTCTAAAGATTTATTTTGTATTAGGTGCACTCATTTACTATTTAGGTATCTTAGAAGTTATATTTTTTATTTTTAAAAGACATTAATTCCTTAGGAGATTTCTTTTGAGAATCATTGTCTTCATTAATTGTACCAAGGCTCCTAAAGCCCTATAAAAATCAAACATTTTTAGATTTGAATGAAAAGAATTGCATCTTCTCTAGTCTCTTACTCTCATCTCTTATCTCACATTACTCTTTCTTTCTCTTCCTCTCTCTTTCTCTCTACTTCCCTACTCTATTCTACGTTAGTTTGGCATCAAAGCCCATCAAGAAACTTACCATGTACCCTATTGGGTTCCAATTAGTAGCAAAAACTTCAATCAACACCCAAGATTGTTTGCACCTCTAACGTCAACCCCTTGTGTGTGGAGTTGGACTTTGGGGCGACTGTCCATACGAAATCGGTGGACCACATAGTTCTCAACGTTGGATAAATTTTTAAAAGTTTTACTAATATTTTTTTGTTGAAAAAAAATTGTATATTTCATTAGATCATGGTTTTCATTGCTGCTTCCCCTTATTTTCTTTCTTTTTTTATATTTATCACCCTCTCTCTCCTCTTTAGCTATAACTACAGCACCATTAAAATTTGAACCATTGAAAGTTGTCAAAAGAAAAAAACCAAAACAAAAAGAGAGGGAAAAAAAGTGGGAACCATTTGTAACATTGTATTTCTACCTTGTGCATTGCAATAATTAACAATATTATTACCAAAAGGTTATTTATCGGTAGTATTAGAATCACGACTTTACGAGGTGAAAACCAAACCAATCCTAATGAATCCCTAAACCAATAGAGTGAGGTAGACACCCTTAGGTCCAAGCTAGCATATCATGATACAATGTTGAACCAGTTATGTGACAAAATGACCCAAGTCTTAAGAGCTCTCCAATATCTTGAAAAACGACCTATGAATGAGGTTGATGGGTCAGTTAGACAATATGTCCATTCTCCTCTATCCATAGCTTCAAATCAAGGAATTTTATGTACTCTCCAAGTTTTAGTTCGAACAAATCCTAGGTCCACCTATAGGGCACCTGTTCACAATCATACTTCAACAATTCTGCTTTTGACCTTAATAATGAATTCCTAGAATCTATTAGAAATCCACAAGCCCGAGTAATATGGGCCAACGAGTTCAGTTTGCTGATAATATGGGAGAAATGGCTAGAAAAGTCAAAGTGGATGTGCCAGACTTTGATGGTAAGTTTGACCCAAATATGTTTGTTGACTCGTTAGAGAGCATAGAAAACTACTGAGTGGTATGAAATGATTGATTTTGAATGTGTACGATTTACAAAAATGAAACTAGAAGGGTCTGTTAGGAAATATTGGCAATATATTCAATATAGTCTCGAACATCGTCGAGAACCTCCCATCACTCAACGGGAAGTCATGAAACAAAAACCGAAGAAAAAATATTTAACAACCTACTTTTTAAGCTAATTGGTTGGACAATTGTTAAACCTTAAACAATTGAATTATAGTGTTGTAGAGTATTTAACCCTATTTGATGAACTTTTACTTAGGTGTGAAATAGAAGATGATAAAATCATCACTGTATGAAGATTTGTTAATGGGTTGAGGTTTGACATTCAACGGGAAGTCACTGTTAGTTTCCCCGACACCATGGAGGAAGCTTCCAGATGAGCCCTTGAGATTGAGAAGTACATCAAACTTTAACCAATTCGTTAAGCATCTTCTCAGTCTCTCGACAATAGAATTATTACCCAATTTGCTATAAGTAGTGACTCTATCAAGTCAAAAATCCCTACTACTAGCAACACTTTTAACCCAACCATGAATCATCCAACTCATTCAACTATTGATTCCCGAACTAGTTCGTCTTCAATCCGATGTCATTATTGCCATAATAGAGGTTACATTGCCTCTCATTGTCCTTAACGTACCCTTATCTTAAAACAAGAACTAGAGGATCAAATTAAGGAAGTAGACCAAGTAGTTGAACTCGAAGCTTCAATAGGTGACAAAAACGAAAAAGAAATTGAAGATGCCCATGTTAATGTTGTTTGTATTATTCTCTCTACTATTGGAAGAGAATAAGTATTTTCCATATTTTCATCATCTAAAGTGGGGAAAGAACTTGCAAATTAGTTATAGATAGGGATAGCACTATGAAATGTAGTCTCAAAGTATGCTATCAAAAGACTAAACCTTAAAGTGGAGTTACATCCGACCCTATTTAAAGTAGCCTTGGTTGACAAAATCATTTTATCCATGATTGAAAGATGTCTGGTACCAATCAAAATGGGCGATTAATAGGATGAGATCTACTACGACGTCTTGCCAATGGATGTTGTTCACATTCTTTTAGGTCGGTCTTGGTTGTATGACTGATGTTACCAATCATAGGAGAGAAAAACACGTCTTTCAATACAAAGGTAAAAATGTTATCCTGTGACTAGCAAATTCGTCAAAAAAGGACAAAATAGGAACTCCTAAGTTTTTCTTCTAGAAGCCCCCGACCATCAAGGAACTCCACTTATTGGATCCTAAATATTTTGAAATAGAGAGCTTTGGCAATAAATTTTGTGTGGCCATCATTGCTAGAGAAATTCCTAGCCGTTGCACTATTCTTGATCGGAGAGGTTAAATCCTTATTAAATGAATTTTCTGATGTTATACCCTCGGAATTACCTAGTGAGTTGCCACCCTTACGGGAAATCCAACATGTCATTGATCTTATCCTAGGATCATAGCTCCGTAATCTCCCACATTATAAAGTGAGCCCTAAGAGGAGAGCTGAGTTAAACAAGCAAGGTGAAGAGCTTTCAGCTAAATGATTTGTACGACACAACCTTAGTCCTTGCGTTATCCCTACCTTATTAACTTATAAGAAAGATGGGTCTTGGAGGATGTGTGTAGATAGTCAAGCAAGCAACAAAATAACAATCAAATATCGCTTCCCGATTCCTCGACTTTAGGATATGCTATACCTTCTCTCCTAATCTAGTTGGTTTTCAAAAATTGACCAGAGAAGCAGATAGCACCAAATTCGTATTAGACCTAGTGATAAATAAAAAATAGCATTCAATACTTAAGATGGCCTATACAAATGGGTAGTCATGCCCTTTGGTCTATCTAATGCCCCAATCATTTTTATGCACTTCATGAACCAAGTTTTTCGACACTACATAGGCAAATTTGTTGTAATCTACTTTGATGACATCTGGATCTTTAGTAAGACTAAAAAGAATCATTTAGAATACCTTCATTAGGTTCTTACCACCTTTCACGTTACTAAGCTCTATGTCAATCTAGAAAAGTGTTCGTTTATGCAAACCTATGTCCTATTCCTAGGCTTCAACATATCCACCCAAGGTGTTTCTACCGATCTAGAAAATATCCACATCATTTTAGAATGGCCTTAGCCTAAAACTCATTCTAAGCTTCACAGTTTCTTTGTATTAGCCTTTTTCTATAGGAGATTCATTAGAGGGTTTAGTTTTATCGTGACACCTATCATTGATTGCCTAAAGAAGGGTGAGTTTTCTTGGACGCTAGCTGCTACCAAAGTCTTTGCTGACATCAGAACGAAAATGACTATCGCTCCTGTTCTCAGGCACCCTGATTTTAGTAAACCCTTTGAGGTCACTTGTTATACCTCTAGTATAGTCATAGGCTTAGAAGGAATTTTTAGTTAAGAGGAGCCTATCACCTTTTTTAGTGAGAAATTATATGATGCAAAATAACATTATTCTACTTACGACAAAATATTCTACGCGATTGTGCAATGTCTTAGGTATTGGCGATATTACCTTCTACCACAAAAGTTTACCTTGTTATCTGATCGCCAAGCCTTAATATACTTAGTTGCCCAAAAGAGGTTAAATGCTCGATATGCCAAGGGGGTTGAGTTTCTCAATGAATACTCTTTTATAATTGAGCATTATTTTGTCAATCAAAATAAAGCTACTGATGCCCTTAGTCGAAGTTCTATAATCCTATCTACTATGAGTGTCAAGATCATAGGATTTGAGCAATTAAAAGAATACCCAATGTCTAGACTTTAGTCACATATATCGAGAAGTCTAAGATCGAAACCATTGTGAGCATATAGACTTTATTCTTAAGGATGGTTACCTTTTTCAATCTACTAAATTATTTGTTCCCCAATCCTCCCTTTGAGACTTCTTTGTTTGGGAAATGCATGTGGGTTAATTAACATGTCACCTAGGTCGAGACAAGACCATTACATTAAGTTGAGAATTGATTTTATTAGTCTTCCTTGAAGCAAGAT